TAGTGGATGCGTACTGCTGATGAGTCCCAAATATAGGACGAAACGACCGTCCAGTGCTTTCTGTATTCTGTTGAGATTTCTATCAGACTCGATGAATTACTTAAATATAATTGTCAAATCCTCCTAGTAATTTATATATATATATATATATGCACATGTATGGATACAAATATGACTATGTTGAAAAACCCTAACGGTCCTAGCATCGCGGGCCATAGTTTATACATGTCCGCTGTGTTCTAATGTTTATTTTTTTATGTCGTACCCGTTAAAAATGTTAGCAATCATAATTCCCGACGGATTTCTCTCCTTAGTTATACTTTACAACCAGTTCCTAAGGAAGATGGTAGTTTCCTTGCCTTCTGTATGGTTTAGTGTTCACATAGTCAATAATAATTTCTTTTCTGGTTGCAAGCCAAGGCTAGATTGCCCAGTCTGTCCTGTTACTTAAGTCAAAGCTGGGCGAAGAAAAAACGGATACATACCTTTCCCAATAGAAGTAGTCCAAAAGTGAAATCAACAGACTAGTCCTGGATTTGAACTCGCATTGCCGATTTTATTTTCTGCGTCGGTATTTCTTACACACCCCTCACAACTTAAACTCAAATTTGCTATCATTTCTTTTCTTTATACAACAGAAGACGAGATCAAACTTTGAATGAGGTATTTACCTATCTTCTCACCGGGGTTGGGTGTGTTGAGATGTGATATATGGCCCGTTTAATGTCCGCAAACGTCTGTGAGGGCCAGAAGAAAAATTGAACATTTTGTTCAAACATCAGCGACGGATTCATTAGAATATTACGTGCCTTCTTTACTGACTAATAGTGACATGCTGTCTTGGGAATTTCCGGAACGATCGCTCGTCTTATCTTTTTTTCCACGATTCTGTCCGATGAGAAAAAATACGACACTCTAACCTGCCCGGAAACAGAACACGGTTGAGGAAGTTTGCAGATTCAGATACGCAGTGAACAGATGGGATATATGCGTACGTGTGACACAAAGCCAAAAATTTTCCAGGCTCCGTCACAATTGTAACCTAAGTATCAGAGTGTTTAAAGACCGTTACCTCAATGGAGTGATGCTGACATAGTATTTGAATCTCTTAGACTAACTATTTCTAATTGGTTTTATTGTTGTTTGTTTAGTGGCATATCAACTTCTTAAGGATCATTTAATGAGAGAATTTTCTTGGGAGCATTTGTTTTTGATATAATGGAATATGCATACACCTGTGTTTCCTCTCATTAGAATATGATTGGCTGGTGTCCGTCATAAATACCGACGGACGTGTAGGAGAGTCAAGAGCCTTAGTCTGAGCGCTAAGTCTATAACTACGCCCATTGGACTACGCCATTGATATACACTTCTTACCTGCGACTACGACGCGTACCAATCGATTACTGCTACCGTATTGTACTTGGTTATAGTAGCTAAAACCACTGAGCTACTTCGTTCAAATATATCCCTTTCCGGGACATATCACTTTTATTAAAATATATATATTCCTGGTAAATGCTACTTTTTACTACGAAAATATATTACATTATTTACATTATTCGGACTATTGTCCTCATATTTGTCGCCATATTTATCACAACGTTTCGGCCGTTGTACGCTCCGGCCTTCTTCAGGTGGTTGAAATTTCGAAATTCCAACCACCTGAAGAAGGCCAGAGCGTACAACGGCCGAAACGTTGTGATAAATATGGCGACAAAGATGAGGACAATAGTCCGAATAATGTAAATAATGTACATAATACCTCATCTCAGAAATATAGACAGACTCTTAAAATATATTACTGGTATTTTTACTATAAAAATATTTTATACTTTCATAGGGCTTAACTATTTAGCTGGAACGTTAACAGTTACTACCACCCCAGGTCAGAGTTCACCTGGATACCACAACAAGTAAGAAGTGGTTCCACGCTCCTCAAAGCCACCGGATCAGAGACCTTGCTGCCGGATGTAATCTATCGTCATGTCCAGGACCTCATGGCTTTTGTATGAACGAAAGCAAACAGGAATGGGGTAGAGAACAGATAATACACTCTGATTCTAACTAAAAACCAGGGAAGTAATAACCTTTACTTACAGGTCTGTATTTACGGTTTTATCGAATATAGGGTGTGATGCACGGCCGATTTCTTTTGCTTATGTAAGATGCTGTATAATACGAGAACAAAAACTGCCCAGTCCCGGCGACCATTGTGTTTGGATGCCCTAACCCACCGGCTTTCGTATAATAAGGGAGGTGTTTATGTAGGCTTGCATCCCTCGTAAGAGTACCGTATACTGCTCTAAGGTAGAAATACGGCAGCAGATAAGATCCTATATTTTGATCGGCATTTACTGACCTCTCCACAAATTTTTTTTTCATGTCGGGTGTCGATATATATATGCGGGAGCCAAAGCACAAACTTGCGGCCACTATCACGCTGGGGTCCGCCTCTACTAACTCTGTTTTGCGCAATGAAGAAGTTGCTGCCGAAGGGCTGGTATCCTTAAAACCAGATAAGCCTTAAAGCTTCCCCGAGATCTGCCCAGGGACAGAAACATGTCAGAGACGCGGAATAGATACTGAATAGATCTCAGTCCCTTAGCCGGGGTGTCAATGAACTTTACGAGCAAGTTGTTTGGTTGAACCTAAGTTCTTGAAAAACTAAACTAATTGTTGTTTTTTTTTTTTTCTTTTTTGCAGTTTCGGGTTTATCTACATTCAAACTCTATATCTATTTATTACTCACTGAAAATGTCCCTCAAACACATATTTGAGACATTGCTTAATAAACTGAATTTACATGCCATGCATTTTCAAACAAATATAATCGAATGCTATGCAAGTGTTTGCTTATACATATATATATATATATATATATATATATATATATAGAGAGAGAGAGAGAGAGAGAGAGAGCTGTATTTATGTGTGTGTGTGTGTGTGTGTGTGTGTGTGTGTGGAACGTAAACCCTTAAGGGTAGAATCGGATAAGTAAAGAAGATATATACATATGTATTAGTAATTTCCTCCGCCTAGCTGTGCGCAAACGACTGCTTCAGAAACCTCGAGCGGAATTCAAATAAAGAATTTATTCGATCAGTACGCCAACTAAAATCCCGCGAGATGTCACTACTGCCGCGAACTCGCTACAAAGCAGCATCCTACTTGCCGCCATCTTGCTTTTGCTCTTTTTCACTTCAGTTTTCTCTTTCTTCATTTGTAGTTTTCCTTTGCTATACGTCTAAAAAAAAAAAAACTCTAGAAGGATAGAAAAAAAATTGTTAGCTAAAAATTGTTTGAGATAATTTTGTTTCGTTGCATTACATGAGTGCGTATATTTGTTTACAAGTGTGTATGTTTCAGGAAACGCGCATGCTCGTGAAGTGTATGTGTGTGATTTTTGGAGATATGGAAGATTTTGCTAAGTCGAGTTCGTTGATTTGGTTAACAAAATCTGCTTAGAAATTTATTTGTTCTGCAATGTACACGTATCATTCGTCGTCATTTGTTTTTCTCTGCGCATGCGCTGTTTGCGTGTGTATGTATGCGCGCGGCCATCTTGTATCTACTTTCGTTTGTTGTTTTCTATCTTTGTTAAGAAAACGGCTTGCATTTTCTTTAAACTTATCTTATTTCCTCACTGAACAGAACGCCTTGGTTTTATAAACTTTTCTTTACGCTGTCGTCATACTTTTATTCGTTTCAAGGCAGGTATCATTTTTTTTTTTTTTTTTAGTTTTCACTGACTTATATTTTAAATTAATTTTTCGCCTTCATCTTTTTCATTTTAACATGAAGTTATTCTCTCTCTCTCTTTCTCTCTCTCTCTCTCTATCTTGTAAATTTCTGGTGTGATAATTTTTTTGGTTTTAGGTTTTATTTCTAATTATCAGATTTTACGTATTTTGTCGAAACCGCGTCACACCTTCGATTAGCGGAAGCATCGAGTTAATTACGTTATTGAGAACAGCGCCTAGATTTCTAAATACGTCTTACAAGTGCGTTGCAGGAAATATTCAGCGATAGATTGGCAGCATGAGAGACTTAATCTCACAAACAGAATTGAAAATGCATGTTCTTCATTTGCAGTTGGAAGAAAAGAAATGATAAAGCGTTGAAAGGATTGGTAATAGTATTTTTCATGGTGTCAGTCGAAATAAGATTTTCAAAATGAATTTTAGACAATCTTTTCCGATCTGACTATTATTCTGTGCACTTTGTTGAATAAGAAATACGGAAGCAGTGTTTGAATTTAAAAAGAAAATGAATTAAAAAAAAAGAGTAGATTTTAATTCTTCTATGACAAGCATTTCGTTGATTCTAGATAGCGAATTTCCAAATATGAGATGTGATAAGCAAAAGGGAATCAATAAATTGATAGCCTGACACGGTTATCTGTTGAAATGTGCAGATTTTTTTAACGTACGATAAATGTGATTAAAAAATAAAAAAATATATCTGAGATTAGGGAATGGACAAAGGGAGACATATCTTTAATGAATGAATATTGTATAAAATAAATACATTCTTTATCAGTAGTCTCCCGACATTACTCGGGGAATATATATATATATATATATATATATATATATATATATATATATATATATATATATATATATACAAAAAAGGTATATGTAATATATAATTAAAGTCTTATTGTAGTTTACAAAGTTTTCTATTTAGATATTTTTGTTATATACCTATATATGTGTGTGAGTATGTATGGATGTATGTGTGCATTTGTCCTTATACATATGTATGTGTGTGCATACATAAATAAGGACACATGTACACCCACACACACACACTCACACACACACACCTTCTGAGTGTGTTCAAAGGAAAACTCCCAATTAAAATCCCCGGCTGAATCTTTCTTATGGTAGTTTATTTTCATTTTATATTTAGTGAGTTATATGGTACAAATGTCAACTAATACTTTCTCTCTGTGTTAGTGTTTCTAACATTTAAGAAAATGGTGATGCTCAAAA